CACACACACACACACACACACTCCGCTCTAGGTCAGGACTCTAGGGAATACTGCTAAAGCTTGTGGTCACTGACGGTCACTGCCGCTCTCTGATGCTGAGCCGCGACCGCGCGAGAATACTTGTGGCTTCTCATCTATCAGATCATCCCTGGCCTGTTGGGCTCTTGCGACCTACCCTCCCCCCCCCCCCGAAAAAGTGAGCACTCCCTCCAGTTCGTTCGGGAAAATGACAAGTTGGTGACGGTTGGCCGTTCAGGTGGTGCCGGTGGATAATCACCCGACAGTTCCCGACATGCAGCTGAGCTTCGTGCGGTCCTGGCATGCCTCCGTCACGGAGTAGATCATGGCCATGCCGATGGACGACTCAATCGTCTCCTGAGCCACGAGCAAACCAAAACTCTGCAGGACTACCAGGCTTGCGTCGCTGAGCATTTAGGCTTAGGAGCTGACAGTGATTTTCTCCTTCAGCTGCCCCAGCTTCTCGTCACTTAGACCCAGAACATCCTTCCGACCACGGCAAACAGCTGCAAAAAACTCCATGCATCTTGGAACTCTCGGGCCGCGTGCTTGCACTTGAGATCCCAAGAACAGATCCCAAGAACGTCAAGAACGGAGGGAGGGAGCAGACTGTCGCCGAGGCCTTGGCTTCACTAGCAAGGGCCTCACAAGCCCTCAAGACGTCCTTTACCCTTGGCCACAAGCTTTGAGCCGTGGTATGCATTGCGCAGTGAGCAGATGCCTTGGCGATTTCCAATTTTGATGAGGGTGATACGGGGCTTCCCGTCACGAGGCGTCCTGCTTCGTGCCTTTCTGAATGGCTGCCGAAGTTCGACCCCTCGAACTGACAAGCCGTCCCCTTCCATGCGGGCACTCAATGTAAGATCGCCTCCATCTGCCGCTGCACTCAAGCTGCTCGAAACACTTGCGGCTCTGCGACCGGCATGCCGTTCCCATTATCCAGCGTCACAAGGCCAACTTCAATGAGTTGGAAAAGTGGATGGTGGGGAGAGGTGGGAAGCTGTGGGATGTGATCAGCAGCAACTCACCCCAGGTTTTCGCACGGATTGTTTTGCGTCCAAAGTGGATGACGGAGTGCATGCACGGAGTGCGTTTCTCACATTCGGGTCTGGGACGTGCGATGCGACACGGCTTCCATTCCGTAGTCTACCACACCGGATCCCTCTCTGTTCACTCTCACCCACTCTGACCTCTGTTAAGCAGCTGAAGGCCAGGCTTCTTACATCTTGTTACCCCATCCGATAGGTACAGCGCTGCCCTGTCGGAGGTGCACCCTCTCTCTCTGTCCCTCCTCGAGTTCCCATATCGGGGGCTCGTCGGGGTAGGCGTCGGTGTACGTGACGTGGAGCGCGACACCGACGTGGTTCTCCTGCAAGGCCCCGGCGCGCGCGCGCGACAGACGCGCCGCAGACGCGCAGCTCGCTTCCGCTCGCATCCGCTCGCATCCCAGGGAGCTCCTCTTCTCCGCCTGGGAAAGGCTGAAGCTTGATTGCGAACCTGAAGGCGACAGGACACTCGATGCACTCCGGGCCGCGCGCCCCTCCAAGGCACAGACTCCTTTTCGGAAATACTCTTGAACTCCTCTCCCTCGAAAATCGACTGCAAAGCCTGCGTCTCAGTCTCTGGTCACTGGAGCCAAGGCCCAGAGGTTTCACGCCTCGATTTCCAAGGCTTGCTCCTCCTGCCGCGACAGCGAAGCGCGCATGTGAACATGTGCACAGCTCGCGGAAGGGTGGTTTCGGCGCCTCGTGAGCCATCGCCGCTGGGCGCAGGGCGCCTCTCACATCGCGGCACGGCTGCGCTGCGCTCTGCGCTTCGTGAGGCTCTGATGCGGAGTCTTCGGGGATGGCAAACGTTCTTTGCAAGACATGATCGCAGGTGCTACCAAAGCCGCTCTGGTGGTAACCACTCCTTCACTATTTTGAGTGACCCATGTGACCTCTGCGGTGGCTGCGCATACAGATTCCTACAGCACCCGAGAATTCTACAGACACGGCCACAACTGACACACCACTGATGCTCTGGCCAGACTTTTGCACTGGAGCTGTGCCGGTGGTGCTCTGACCCCACACACGTTCTGCTCTGTACACATGTGCGTTGTGCGTGGACCATTCCGTTGGTGTGAAACCGATCACGAAAGCCTCTTGTGTGTGGTTCATGTGGGGTTTTCGGGCATGTAGCGAGGCTCCTTTCGTGACCTGCAGTGTCTCTAAGGAGACAGAAAACCTAGAACTACGCGTCGCAAGGCGTCATCAACTTCCTCGGTATGGTGCCGAGGACTTGCGAATCGACGCAAAGCGACCTGGTCAAGAAACCCACGAGTCAACGTCTGAAGTCTGGAGCATCCAAAAGCCTAGCCGGCCTAGCCTAGAAAGCCGCGAGCTGGAGGCGTCACCTTCAAATTAAACGGTCGCTCTCGTTTCAAGACGCCGTGAAAGATCCCCAGCCTTTGAAGCTTGAACAGCTTGGGCCTCATATAGAAGGTTTGGGGGGGTCAAAGCATGGCAAAGCAGCTGCTTTGAGCCCTCTCTCGGCCTCCAGAGACTCTGCGTAGAGATTCGCCCGAACCTGTCGAACCGAGCTCGTAAACACGCGCAGAGAACACACGGAGCTTCAGAGAGCCCACCGGAGCCCAAAACCCACCCTGGCCTCCCCCTTCTCTGAACTCTCGGAACCTGCACCGAAAAGGGACGAGCAAACACGATCCTCGGAGTGACTGATTGGCTCAAAAGTGACAAGCAGAGATTGAGTTGCCTCACCTAGATGTGGCCTGAGTGTTCAGCATTTTGGGGCTTGCCAAATCTTACCAATGTTTACCACGAGCGCTGGACACGGACTGTATGACTTTCTTTGGTTGAGCTACTTCAACAGTGCCCCCTGCGAGCTCGCGGTCCGGGTCTATGTCTACGTATCACGCAAACAATCTCAGTCAACTTCTTTCCGGCCAACCGTTGAACTTATCATATACCTGGACCCATGCAAAAGCCCAAGGTCAGGAAAGTCTCTGGCAGCGTGCCGTGTTCCGGCTCCTCAGCAAGGGGTGCCTGAAAGCTAAGCCTCAGAAGCGACGACGCACCTCTCGTTCGCTCACAAGTTCATTGAGCTCATGACCTGTCAGGTAGCAAAGTGCCAAAGCCTCAGCGGTTTCAATTAGAGTCACTAGAGCACAATGGATCTGAGGGCTTCTTCGTCGCTCGGCCCTGCACTCAGCCGGCTTGGCTGTAGAGTCTCGAAGCTCTTCCTGCCGCTTGCACAGCCAGCCCACTGCAGGCACCCTGCAAGAAAGAGCTGTGGTGGCTGGCGTCCTGTCTGGGATCAGGGTGCTGAAGCTCCCACGATCCTGGGACAGGGCCGGAATCAAGTTGTTTGCTGATGTGAAACAAGCTCTTGTCTGGTGCGTGTCTCCTGCAAGCTATTTTCCAAAGTTTTCGATGTGCAAGAACTGCGCTGGAAAAAACTGGACTGAGCCTTCTTGGAGGTAGGCTGGGCATTGATTCTGCTGACTGCTGCGTGTGCTGCGGATTGCCGTTGCGCCTGGAAAAGTCACCTGTCACACAGATCTCCTCCAGGAGGGAACTGTGCAAACGTTTCAACACATCGCACATGCAACGCATCTATCTGCTACGCTGCATGTGATAAAAAGGCCAGAATGTTGGACATTCCGTCGTTCAACAATTATAGAACATCATAAGGTACCCCAAGAACTTCAAACCACGAAGGGGCAAAGCTACCTGATGGCCGCAGATGCACTCTCCGGCTGCACATCCATAACGTTGAACAGGGGCCCATAACTTAAGGTTTGCTTGTGCAAGATATGTTGTGACTGCGCGCCTTTTCTTTTCATGTCTCCTGAGCTTTAGACTACATAAAATGGTTAGTGATTGATCAACTTGTCGGGTTACCGCCAGGAGCTTGCATGCCACACCCTCCCAGGCTTGTACTGAGACTGGCAGTTCTGCCTTTCTCGCAGGCATTCCAAACTACACTTGCTCCCAGGAAGGTGATCGGTGATCACGGGTGCTTCGTGTTTCCAAATTCCTCTCTTAAGTCATCAACCCACCAAACATTCAGATTTTGGCTTACATGTGCAGGTTCCCACCCTCATAGCAAAGTAGCAACACGGACACCCTCTCCAGTTGCCGGAAGGAGCTTTCGTGATTTCCGTCTTCACAATTTCGTCTGAATACCCCCCAAGAAAGCAGTCACCAGAATCGCCACACTTTTCCGATCCCTAACTTTTGAACCCGCCCGATCCACAACTGATGGTTGCAACGATTCGACACAATCTCAGCCATCGGAACAGTCCACAACAGAAACACATCGCAAACCTTCTCTGACTGCTCACCGTACTTTTAAGGCACCGTCCGGGACCAGTGTCCGGAAGCTGGCTCGGTCCTCAGACACATGGGTAGTTATAAGTATGGTTATAAGTCCCCTAATTTGGATCACATAAAGAAAGTTACCCTGCTTATAACTCCATTTATAGGAGCATGCACAAAAGCGCGCCTCAGCTTCTGCCTGTCTCAACTCCCGCGTCTAAGAAACGGGCAGGTACTAGTGTGGCAAGCGTTGCGAAGCTCTCCCCATAGGCCGCCTGCACGATCCTAATGGCAGCTAATGAAGCATGACATTCAACACGGGAGAAGGACAGGATGCCAAGGAGCTAGAACGATGGAAAGCAAAACCTTTCGAGAGACAAACCCTGGCATTCGGAAGAGAGAACAAGCCGCGATACTCTAGAACCGGACCGCACGCTCAAAATGCAATGCGCTGATTGATGCTTTCTACGAGATCCGTGCCTGAGCCTCAGCCACTTCAGGAACCTGAGTTGGCTTGCTTTTGATTCAGAGGCAGGGCCTCTTGCTGCACACGCACCCGGTGGGATGTGGCACAAAGCCATCGACTCAGCACGCTGCAGACAGAGCCGGGGAGTTCGTGCGGATCGAAGCAGCCTTGCTATCGTGGCAGCCGCAGCAATGGGAGCAGCGCAAAGGAGACGTTGAAAGTCTTGATCCCCATGAGACTTGCTGATGGCATGCGCCTGTGAAGACTGCGAAGCCAAGGGTGCCTGGAACGGCTGGAATTCAGCAGCCATTTGAAGAAATCAGCCAAATATCTGTGTGTCCCTCTTCATCATCCCAGCCTCTGGTATGTCGTCCTTCTCGATTGAAGGCGTACAGCACCCACATTGCCTGCCGTGGGATTGCATTTGGCACGACTGCTCCCACCTCACTCAACAAGCCGCATTACACCGAGACACGTCAATTCAGCTGAGGCAGGGGCTGGCCCATGGCGCTCCGAACGGCTCCCGTTTTCGAGCTGTAACTCGTCAGTACAGCATGTTCCTTGTTGGATTCGTCGTCCCCATGGCTAAGACGGCTAAGACATGATCGAGGTCTTCAGCTGTATGTCTTGCATTTTGCGGCACCTTGAGCCACGAATCACCTGGACATTGGAATGAGACTGTTCACATGCGTCCAGGGGATTGACGCAAAGCCGAAGCCTATGCGAAGGTTCGATCTGAGATCTCGAAGCATCACACAGCGGGTGCATGAAGCAGCAGCTTCTCTGAAGAAGTCTATTTGTAGGAAGAGCACACACACACACAACACAGAAGCAACGTGGAGTAACTCTGCTTTCACTCGCATAAGTTGCTGAAAGTACGCTGCGAAGCAGTGCGAGCCCGAAGAAGGTGAGAAGCTTTGCAGGGCAATGCGATGTCCTCGCCCGAGGTGGTGTGGGTGGGTGCTCAAAAGAGTTCAGAGGTAGCTGCTAGGTAGCTACTCTATCGACAATCCTTGAGATGCATAATGCTGCAGCCAGCTCCAGATTCTTCAGCAGAAAACAGGGTCGACCAAAAGAGAAAAACACGATTGATGTTCTCCGGAGAAGTCTACTTGTAGGAGGTACACACCAAACAAGAGCAGTGTGACTCATTCTGTCTGTTCTCGCAAAGGTTGCTGAAGCATGCCGCAGGGCAATGCGAGCCCGAAGAAAATGAGAAGCTTTGCATGTTATTGCGAGGCCGAGTAAACCCGCCCTCTTTAATCAACTGTCTGCGGCCTCTGTCGGGCTGGCTCCTTGTTCCCCCGTCCCCCACGGGAGAGCAAGCGGCGCAATGCGGAGCAAGAAGGGCTAGGCGGCGCGAGAGCTGTGCGAGGGCGTCGGAGCATGCTATGTGAGATTGTATGGAAACACAAAGCTGGGGCCACCGGCAACGAACCCCATCCAGGGCAAAGATCTCTCTACACCGATACCACACATTACCACACGAAGGACGATGCGGTGCTTCGCCATCCCCCGATTCCCATGAGTTGCGGGTCCGCACAAACGTTTGCGACGCTGAGGCACGGTGCCATCCGGGGCCACTGTAAACTGCATGGTTGCTCCTCGAAGCCATGCATAGCAGCTGGAAGACTCATAATACAAACCCAAAGCTTCACAACCTTAAACCGACACCCTTCATTCTTAACCATGTGGGGCGTTGCTTGGCGTAGGCCGCCCCTGAAAAACCATCAAGCCCTGTATAAACCCTCAACCGCTATATTACTCTGAAACCCCCGACTCTTGATCGGTCGATCAATTTCAATTGCTTGTGTCGCTTGGTCGCTCTGCCTGAGGCAACTGACGTGTCTGCCGTCAGCTGGATCGGCTTCGATCGTCTGGTTGCGCTTGGTTGGAGCTGTTGTCGTTGAAACATGCGCTCCCGCTTCTCAAGAAGAAATTGTGTGGTACAGGTAGACCCGAGTAACCAAACAGACAGCTTAAAGTTCCAGCACAAACGCCAAGCTAACGACGTAGAGAATCGCTCGCTTCCGAAGCCTTCTGAATAGTCGACTGTGTAATTCATCTTGTGTCCCTCCAGGACATGAGTGTGCAGCAGAGTGTGTGGACTTATATGGAGACAGTGCGACAGCGACACAGCGAGAGAGAGAGAGAGCGAAAAAAAAAAAAAAAAAAAAAAA